CCAGTCTCCTTCTTGAACCACGATGTTATGGGTGATACGCGTTATGGACATACTACTATGAGTATTGTAAGTAGGCGGCAACGTCATTGGATTTATGCGACTTTGTACATAAGCTTTACTTCGTCATTTTGTCCTTCCATCTCATCCTAACCGGATTTAACTCGAAGACTTCCCATGTGGAACGCCTATCGCCGTCGCATATCTAACGTGTGTTAATACACGACTCTTCGTCAATTGTCCTTCTTTTGTCTACTCCCTTCAAAGCACCATCTGCAAAACCGAAGGCGCAAATGCTAACAGTAGTATACCTATTCCCAACCCCGTTCTAGAGTTAGCGCCATTTTTGTTACATACTGCGGCGATCAGTTTGAACTCCTGAGCGTGCTGTGCTAGACAAGTGTCGCAAGAGTGATCCTCCTCGCATATGCATGCCGACCGTTCGTATGATACTGCAGACGCATTCGTGCAGCAAGGTTGATAAATGTCGCTGGTGATGTTGTCTCGATCATTCCCAGTCAAGAGCGAACACATGCCTGACGTGGGATACTCGAGGATGGGCTCCGAGTGATTATAGAGAGTTGTTGTATTGCTGAAGCTGTTCATGGTGGATATGTGGTTGGGTAGAGTAGAGTAACGAATTATGACTTGAGAACGTTCGTGATTGATGGTTTAAGCAAGGTCTATAAACTCTCTGCTTCTATTTGATGAGTGATGAGTGTCACAGGAGAAAGGCCTGCAAATGAATATGGATGATGAGACTGTCGCTGGGGTATGTCTTTTCCAATCAGTAGTATCCGGGGATACTGGCGAGGACAAGGTTGGTCGTGATATAACAACTCGACGGTTGGTTCGTCTCAATCTCAATCTGACGTCAAGAGGTCGAAAGTCATCAAAGGCCCTGTCCGCCAAGATGAATGGTTCCTCACAATGAGGCAAGATTTGCGGTCGTCAATGCTGCCAAGTCGTGAGGATTGTTGTATTGATTAGTTCAAGGGATGCTGTGCCACCCCCACCGTTCCAAAGCGGTGGCTCGCTGCTACTTACCATTGCCGGCCGCCAGCAATAGTGGTCGACCTGATTCCTGCACTTGGCACAGATGGGATGGAAATGCCTCCAAAGCTGAAATCCTTTGGCCGAGGTAATAATAGTCATTAGCGGTGCCTGAATGCGTCCGCCGTCCATAGGTATGTACATCTGTACTCCGACTCTAATTTACGTCACGCGCCATGCTATATATAGCAGCACCTGCCAGCGGTCGAGGCGGTATAATTGCTGCCAATTGAGCTGTCGCTCAAATCAACCACTTACGTATTGTAGGATGTTGAGCTCTTGGACGACATGATATCACTATTCGAGACGCTATCTTAAAGGGTCGAGATATAACAATAAAAACAGAAATGTGGTGGTTTCTGACGAACTATAACATGCCATCATACAGTACATTGTGTGGCCGATCCTTCTAATGTAGCCATATCTAATGGAGAGTCTAATGGATGAGAAGTTGGGTGAATGGTCGCTTTAATCACGGTATCTCAAGCATCAAAAAGAGCCTCTCTTGAGTTGACTCTGATTTACAGCAGAGCCACTGAAAAGTATTGCGTTGATCAACTCCCTGGAACTTGCGAGTCTTTGATCGTTAATAAGTAACAGTAACAAAGAGGTGCGTGCCATTGGCGCCGTTGGCAGAAGTCCACGATATACCTTATGGCCTTACTTCATATACATAGGTTTAGAACTGATAACTAAGGTTATTTGCCCCAAATAACTAGTATTGCATCCATATGGCACTAGAGCTTTTGTCTTTCCAAAGCTATTCAAAAAAAAAAAAAAAAAAAAAAAGGATTGATCGTCACCAATCAATCATGCAGGTTTCAGCTACTACTTGCCGAAGTGTTCGTACTGAAGGATCTTTACAGAGTTGTAGCAGTTTATCTTGGCAATCGTCATCTTTTGGTTCAGTATATATGAATTATTATGAGGCACGCCTCACTCAACCTACTTGAGCTGCACTCGATAGACGTAGAAGGATTTGATTTTCGTTTGCTCTTTATGATCCTTCCACCGTAGATCATCAGTATTCATGAGAGGTTCGGAGGCATTTAATATGTCTGGCAACTTGTAGCTTAGATTGACAGGTTCGGCAGACTCGCAGTAGCCCTGATAATGACTCACAATAGAATTCTGTCTCGCTTGCTCACCATAACTTGAAGCTCCCAAGGTAGCTGAGCGGATATCTATGCAGGTGCGTCCGTATCGCAGGATTCTGTTAGAACCGTGAAGGTCATTGGTACATGAAACTGCGTCGAGTTGAAAGTCGCGACCATCGAATTTCGAGATAGAGAAGGGATCGACAAATGCCTAGTGCCCACCAGGTAAACCACACTCCAGACTCGCTGTGCCGCCGCGGATCAGTCGCCAAGTCGCTCTACCCATCCTGCAGTACCATGAATGATTGCATATCAACTCAAAATAGTTCTGTTGAAACAAGTGTCTGAAAACAACTGATTGACGTCAGAACTGCACGCAGCTTCAGAACGAAACTGGTTGTTCAATAGGGTTCAATTATGTTAGATAGAAGTCAACTAAAGAAGATCGATTATAAAGATCTTCAACATCCCATAGCTAGATACTAGAGCAACATTCCATCGTTAAACAGTCTCGATCAGCAAGCTACCAGCGTCCTACTCGCCAGGAAATCGCCAATCTGGTGTTGACAAGGTGCCTGCTTTGTTGCCCTTTGAGTAGTATTTCGCCAATACATTTTCGTGTGAAACATCCGAAGGCAGCACTCTATTCAGCTGATCACCACGCACACTATTCCGCTGTTTATCAGAATGCTTCCCCAACTATTCATTGTAGGGACATTAGCTTTCAAGGCATCGGCCTCCAGTCTCCCAATATGGCAGCGCGATGGAGGCGTGTCTAATTACCACGGACCCGGTCAGCTCATCAAAGACTTGAGGAATCCAAAAGGAACGCCCTCCTTGAGACCACGGACTAGCGTATTGCATACCAGGGCTATTGACCAAGACACGGCAGAGCACTTACTGGGTGCAGACAGCATCGTGGACTGTCCCCCGAACGGCATGACCAATTGGGACAGTGCAGTTGATGCCGCGACCTTATTCATTAACAGCCTTGGTGGCACCCCGATGACCCTACAGCCGGGTATCTGTTATCACCAAGAGGCTGGAAAAACTCTAGCCCAAGTATGCAACAAGGGTACAAAAGATCTCAAAGTTACCCCAGAAGAGGCTCAGATCGGTTTCGATGTCATCGAAGAGACCTGTACAAGTCAAAAGTCATCCGGCACTGTCCGAACATCGACGGGTCTTCAGTACGCCATTCATGCCAAGGTCCCCGTCCATTCTCGCAGCGTGGGCAAGCGCGCATCGAGAAGACCAGTCAAGCGATGCCTTGACTCAGACACACAGGACGTGACGGGTTGCGAAGATATCGTGTGCACGCCCGCCATCTCTATGAATGAGAGTCAAGACTGTCCTAATGTGGGAAACGACGAAACTGACGGCTGCTCGTATTACTGCGAAGTAAAGGAAGCCAAATACTATGGAGTGCCTGAAATCTACGACGATACAAGATATTGCGCTGTAAGTTGGTGTCAATGCACACTGTCCCGTTACGACGGGCTAACTGACTTCATATGCCAGGGAAATGACTGCTACCTCGAAGAAGGCGAATCATTCACTGTTGAGAAGTCGTTGTCGGTGAGCTTCGGCCTCGAGGGAGAGGGCCCGTTGGAATCTGTGCTCAGTGCCGGCATCAGCTTTGGCATTGCTGTTTCAGAGTCTACCTCGCTCACCCAAGGGTTCAACTTCGGTGAGGGGGCTTGTGGTTATTGGTAAGTCACCGGTATAATCGTGGCACACTCTACCAAGTGCTGACTCGTTTCTAGGTACAAAGCACCAGTGATGCTTCACAGCTGTGGAACAATGTCAGAATACGAACCCAACTTTACAGGCGCAGAGGGCGGCCCGTTTCTCTGCTTGACGGACGCGCCCTTCTCCAAGACCACACACAATGTCTGTAGCGAGATACAAGCCACAGCAATCAATAGCGACGATGCAGATGTGGTGGTCATTCCGAGATGGGTCAACTGTGGCGACAGGACAGATCTGCCTGACGATCAGAACTCGGACGCTTGGAAAGACACCTACGCTGGGCAGAACGATGAAGTTCATAGTTGCTAGATGTCGTTCAAGTACAAATTGGTCTTTTGAGCATACGTTTTTTTTTCTTCCTATTTACAGTTGTTGAATCTTGTTCTTGATACCTCAAATGTAATTTTAGTACGCCGGATGAAGCTCGTCCAGAAATTGCATACGCAAGATAATGTTCAAGACACTACAGAAAAGCCCTACATATCCTGTCCAGGTCCACGAAGACAATTTCAATACAAGTGATGGTGTGAGAAATACCCATTGTGAATCCTTATAATCCCTGTACAATTCGACACCTATGATTATTGCTGAAATGCATTACATATAGCATGCGGAAGGATAGTAAGGTTGTCCTACTGGACGAGATATAGTATTTCGCAGCCCAAGTCCTTCCTGTCACTCTCAACCTTCCGTGAGATTATGCTCCAGATGCATAACCTAATTACGACTCTTTGATTGCGGTCGCACATGCAATAATAGTGATGTAAAGAGCCAACTTCTCTTGACATACCTGATTGTGCATCCCGCCTGCAAGTGCCAATAACATTCAAACTCTATGACGTCTGTTATGTTCTGCTATGTCATTTGTGTTAGTCTCCTACGTCGTGTAGGCGCTTCAAGGGGTAAGATATTATCGCACTAGGTAGGATATGTTGTAACATCACATTACCATAACATATGCCAATCAATTCTGTACACCTATTTGGACATGCCGGCTTTCAAAATGTTCGATTGGATACGAACAGCATGGCCAACAGACGACATTGCACACAGTTCAAGGGATATGATTTTCAGATAGAGGCAAACAAATATCAACCAATAGGAGAGATGGCCGAGTGGTTATGGCGCTGCGTTCAGGCTTCTGAACAAGAATTTCGCAGTGGAGCAATCCGCGTGGGTTCGAGTCCCACTCTCTTCAGTCGATTTTTATGTTTTACTTTTTCCTTTTCCACATTTATCTGCCGACCTCAGCCTCTTTTCTTACTACAACTAGGGATCACTGGCAGGAAACTTGTTTTTTTTATTTTGGGGCTTTCTCTCTTCCTAGTACGAAACACCTTATAGAAGTACTTGATTTGCGTCGGCCCCTGGGAATGTCTTTCCGGCCGGGACGCTGCATTTGTACACAAAAGGCACAGGGTTAGCGAGCGACCAAAATGCAGCGCCCATGTGTCACTGACACCCACCCAACCCACACTAAATTCGCACCACTAAAAGTCTAGCCACCTAAAAACTTGTCACGTCTGGTATCGGCTTCAGACTTGTCTGTCAAGTCTTGGCTAATAGCTTGCTTTGTTCCTTTCGCTGATTTATAACGCACAATGTTCTGACTCACAGATCGTTGTGTATAACCCCCAATAAATCAACGACCTTTCACCCAACAAATCAAAAGCTAGCTAGCTCAGTGGAAGAGCGCCGGGCTCATAACCCGGAGGTCGATTGATCGAAACAATCGCTAGCTAATGTTTTTCTTTTGCTGGTTTAGGCTTTTCGTTCCTCTCAATCTTCTCTCAACCATCTTATTTCTTATTTCTTATGCCAACCTCCCACACGCTTTGGGCCACAGCGTGACGTAGCAATGGCCTCAACTCATAGTAGTAGATGTAGTCTGGTACAGTCAGTTCCTCACTAGGTATATTCCTATATACCGTATTGTCATCTGATTGAGACCCGAAGACCAGGAATATCTGAACTTGGAACCTTCAGCTACCTACTCCTCGGGTTGTGCTACTGTTTGCATTAGTAATACCCGTTTAAACGACATCTTAGACGGTGCTACTCACATGCTGCACAAAGCTGGTTACTATCTGGGACGCTGGGATACAAAGCACAGAGATTGGAATATATGGCAATTCCGTGCTTCACACAGGGCAGTCAATCGCCACAAGTCATGGCTCAGCAACACACAAGATAATTGAGACTGAGCTCGGAACTTCGTTTGGGACATAATAATTTGAACCATGTGGGGAGTATCAGAGGCCAAGTCTGCCACCTAGACCGTGACGAGCCTGTTTTTCGCGTCCATTGAAAGCCGACTTCTAATCTCCCAGTGATCCCTAGGGGCCATTTCACATAGACAAGGAAATTGTACAAGTTATACTGATGTTTTCAAGACCCTGAAGACCGCATGAAGGAATAAGTTTATGTCGCTGGCTATGGATGCATCATACTCGGGACATGGAACGTATAGACAACCAGCATGATCCAGAATCTCTCCACATCTACTCAGATAGACAGCATGGCAGGGAGATCAAGTTCGCATAGACAAATATCACATCGTAGTAGTACCAACTACAGTGACACATTGGCAATGCTGCTCTTTGTGAGAATAGGTTGACTGTAGAGTCTGGTTAGAAATGTGAGAAATGAAGGCAATGCTCCGGACCCGCGCGAGCGAGCACTGCATCTTTGCTATAGTCGAAAGTGTCATCTAGTCGAAAGTGACATAGGAATTGAGAAAGTCAATGGCATCAGAAGTGAGACGCCAAGAAAAGAAGGCTATCTAAGCCTGGATATAAGTAATTGCACGAACATGACATGAGCACCTCTGTGGGGGTTCATATGGGTATAGAAGAGGAAGTCCCACGGTGATACGACATGCGGATCGCGGTAATGCCAAGCTGGGAGATACGTATCGATTCGATATCACCACTCTCCTTGCAGTCATAGTATTCTTGCTCGAGGTGCATCACTGATAGGGTATGCTGCCTTGAAGAGTATCTACAATAGGCGCAGTTCCCGCTCAGCACGGCGTAAGACAATAGGAAGGTGCCACCAGAGGCTTTCCAAGCTTCGGGAGGTAACCCAGTTGGTGAGGAGGGAAGCAGTTTTGATACCCGACGTACGATTCAATGGTTCCGGGATTGCTATGAGAAACGATGGGCCCGATGTACAACCCCGATTTGCATGGTCCTGTGGAAATGGGGTAGCGCCCTGCAAACAATTGTTTGAACCATTTGATGCCTTTGCAAACAGGGGAGAGAGAGCATGTGGTCTAAGTTCAAACAAAAAGAAGCGTCGCTATTCGTCTGTTGTTGAAATGGGGCGTGCAAGTGAGGCGGGCGGAAGAGCCCAACGCAAGTTGATTTGAAGCATGTTGCATATGTGGCTAGACAACAACGCACGCATTGGCCTCTTTTCAATAAATGTCGTTCTTCAAAGGTGGTCGGTACCAGTATGCATCTCGATGTTTATGGTAATGTGGAATGGTTCCACAGAAGGGCGAGTTGAAGCCTGAAACGGAAGAAAGCTGACCTGATGCTCTACTTATAAATAGATGACTGCCTCACAGTCTTCGTATCCAGCATTCACGATTGATATACGCCCGAGCAGGACTCCCCGTGGTTGATGCCGACGGCTGCATGAACATGTCATCCGCCCAGATGAACAAATACTGGATTCCAAATCTCGAGATCAGCAAGAAAGTCCTTACGCAGGAGCTCCAATACTACCTTGGGCCCGAGGCAACAGTCAGACCGTACACTCGCGAAGTACGATCACCGACGGCAATTCTCTCAAATACAATGCTCATGGATGTGTCTGTAGGGTGAAGATGGCTTTCTCATCACCACGCCTGGGCCCTGTTTGAGCGATGTTCGTGAGCTCTACATCCATGTTGAAGCTTTAGGCCATTAATTCCCCCTCAGGAGCAAATTGACGATATCTGCTTGAAGTCGAAAGAGTTGTGGGAGAAACAGGCTGCGTCCAAGGCCCAGCAGTCACAAAGCAAGGTACTCAAACGCCCGTTACATCAGCCAGTCCTTATCTCGAAAAGCCCTGGCGATGGCCATAAGCGCCGCGACAACCGGAGAGGTGCGGTCTCGAAACGTGTGCATAATGATAGAAGGGGTGGTGATGCACTGCGGAAGTGAACATTCCGCATAACCATGACCGAGTGACGGGAGTGTCCCCGGCAGATCGAGCCTATCGGATCTGTGAATGTTGAGAGGTTACGGAAGGGATAATCGATGTTCATTGATTCGGTTGACGTTGGCGAAGAAGGGAACATGATAGGAAAGATTGGAAACACAACAGATGTCGTCCAGCGAGGGCATGCCATCTGGCATTGCTGTCGAGATGTGGAGACAAGCATGGGAGTTTCATGTAAGCCAATAGCGGCACACAATTGACACATTCCGCATACTGCGTGCGTGGTGAAGCGACAATGAAGAGCCTGATTGGGCGATAGGTGTGTAACGACCGTAGGGGATCATGGTAGCTCGATGGTGTTCTCGCCTGCCACAAGAGCCCTGCGGGTGAAGTTCTAGAACGATATGGAGACATGACGACTAATGGCAGGTCCTGCTGGCAACGGACCCCTTGCGAGCTATTGATAGAATGATATCTGGCCAGCCTGGAAGGAGGGATGGTATGGCATAGGTAGGTATGCTTCTGACTACTAGTAGTTTCAGTCATTCCAGCTCGTTGCGTGTCTCTATCCCCAAGAAAACATTACACCGATAGTGGCTCACAGTGGTATATGATTTGTAGAGCACAGACTTACATTTGACCTCAGCATTTTTACTCTGCGTGGTTCACAATAGACCGCGGAGTCGAGTGCAAGCAGGATAGCATCATACTGCATCGTCCAATATGGTATCAAGTAGGCATCCGCCAGATTGAAGATTGCCACAGAGTACCTACTCAGCCGGCTTCCGCAAGCATAGAGCGCTCATATCTTTCAATATTAAGGTCCTGAGCAGTCCATACAAGAAGCGCCTGGATGTTGACAGTTGAACCCGTCTTGCAGGTCGCAACCTTTCGAGCAGCGACTTTCGGGCTTGGCTCAAGGGCCGTGATGTATCCGACGACGTGTATCCATTGGCCGACGTCTGTTTGCTCTGCTTTGAGCGTGCCCAGTAGAAGTTTTACATCTACTTTGGCCACTTCATTGTTTTCTTTGGGACAATTATGTTTGAGTGTCAGCTGTGCTGACTTGGTCGAATATGCTTCTACACTTCGAGGCTGTTAGTAGAACTGCACACCCCACCCCATGGAAGCTTCGCGTAGGATAGATGATTGTAAAAGAAAGGCGCTGAGAGCAGCCAAGAGGCAAGTTAAAAGATAGCCATTACAACTGCAACAGTGTGATATCTCAAGGAGAGAGTGCAGGTCTCACCATCCCATGAATCTTACTTTGTCGCCAATTTGTTTGGCACAAAGTTTTGATAGCAGGCATCGCTCTGAAGGGAGCGGTGCAGACGACATGATGGACAATGTAGGAACGTGCAGGTCGCTGAAAGCGAAGTATTGATCATCACGAAGGCCGGACGATGTGAAGATGAGCGGCAGGCAGTGTCATGTTAGTAGGTGTCCACTGCCAATCGGATGTCAGATACCGGGCACAAGGTTGGGCAAGGCTTGGGGCGTCGAGAACTTTGAGATACTCATGCCAACTGATCGACCAGGCTTTGATTTGGGACGTGGTAACATTTGAAGCAAGGTGCGGATCAATCCATGGATGCTACCTCTATTCTGGCAGCTTGGCAGGCGGTGAACTTTGAAGCGATTCTCGGTATGGATTACCTAACACAAGGACGGAGAATTGCTGTCAACTTCCGACGATTAGCGCCAGCTGTAACCCACTAAGCCCAGCTGATCGCTACCTACATAGGTACCTACATTCCTGTCACAGGCGCGACAGGTTTGCAGGCGTAAGTGAGCGGGCTTCTTTCAGCTGCCAGCCAGTAGCAACAGTGGGCAATTGGACGGGCATCAGGCTGAAGACTGAATGTACCTAACCCACAGTGAGCACGCGGCCAGATCTTGAGACCACTTGCATCATCGGCCGCCGGAAGGCAGCCTACCTAGCCTGTTGCTTCCTATCACTCCACCTCCTTATCTGCTGCACCGTCACCGTCACCGTCACCGGCGCCAGGCTTCCTTTATTCCCATCGCCCACCTACGTCCTCGCCTTGT